AACACATAATGCATAATGTCGATGTGCTCTGACGCATCCCGATGTTGTGCAAAGAGACGAGAATCTTGCAATGATGCATATGTGCTGTGCTGATCTTTTTTTTTGCGTTTCCCAATCTCATACTTTGTTGGAAAGTACTATTACATATCAGAAGGAAAACAAAACTTTGTTTAGGAGCACAAACTTGCCTGCCTATATTGAGATGGCTACGAACTCATTGGAGAACTCAGAAATCTTGTGAGACTACTAATCTTTCCCATTTTTAGCCACCGATTTGCTTGCCGCGCATGACTTTACTGATGAACTGCGTGAAAAATAGTACTCAGAATGGGATAAATTTTGATTGAAGGTGCTTCAATTAACGCATAATCTAATAAAATCTATATGGCTCCGTGACACCTAATTCAATTATGATAATTTCCCAATCAAAGTACGCTTCATTTTGTTGATCTCGCTCTTTCGTTTTCTGTTGAAAAGACTGTCAAAAACTGTAGAAATTGCAAAGCATGCATAAAAAACGCTACGGACACCATAGGAAGTCCATCCGAAGAGAATTCCAGTAACGTCGGTTCCGCTGGCGCCCTCAACGTTGCCAGAAGCCGGCCGCCGGCATCGCTAGCTATGGTGGGCTCCACGCGGTAGGTCAGACGCCGGAAGGTGGTTAGTAATTAATCAGAACCTTATGCGTGGAGATTATCGCATGCAATGGCTGTCAATCGCCAGGCATAGACGGGGCCTTTAAGGATGTCAATTACTGAAGGCTCTGTGCTCCTATGGCAGACCCTCGAGGCTAATTAAGAATAGGTTAAGTAACGATTTGACAAGTACACGCGTATCTACGACATGGGACCTCTTAGAATAGCATCTCCACTGCGATTGACATTGGTCGCCCTCTATATGATATCCGGAAGTGGCGGTGAATGACTTTGCGAGAATGTTTGTACATGATAACATATCAAAAGAGATCTACTTGACCTCTTTGTGAATACTCCCACGACCACGATGAAAGTATGCAGACAGATCTCTGTTTGATTTCGAACGAGCGTACTCCTAGGATTTGGCCTTCCGCTACATATCATCTTTTGAACTCTTGCAGTTTTAGCCACTGTGCTGTGCCAATACACATACATCAACCTTATTTCTATTCTTTTAATTATCGTCTTTATCAGGGAAAAAGCGTTGACGAACTTTGTCAATTGGAAACGACCATCATTAACAAAGTAAATGCTGGCGGCTCGGGAACAGACATTTCTTATTGGGAAGGTCTTCTTAGTAAGTCGGATACCTGCTTGTTTTGATTTTGCGTTCTCTCTATAATGCTGAAACTCTTTAATGTGATTCATTTTTTCAGTGCATTTGAAAGTGTTTATCGCCAAAACTCGACTAAGAGAACTTCATCAAAAGATGCTCAAGCTCAAGCTGGCAAAAATTCGTGAGGAGCAAATGCGAGAAGTTGGGAAGTTTGACACACAAGGTCGAACGTTTGTTGTTAAGGTAAACGTGATGCTAACTCTAGTAATTAACCACATCTTCTCTTAACTCTTTTGTCGGAAATCAATTTGGTTTGATTTTTACTTCCGCAATTATTGAGTCTGTGTAGTGTTGTTGTGCAACGGCTTATTTTCCACTTTAAGTCTCCAAGCTTTTTGGCAGAGCAAGAAGTTTTTTTTGTAGTCTTGCTTTTACTCTGAGTTGTCTCACGGGTGCTGAAGTATCAGCAGCAGCAAGAATACGCAGTCAGTAATTGCTGTTTTGGCGGCATCTTCACGTTCTTTGCGCCAACGAGCATTGCGCCATAGGCGGCGATCAACGCTTGTTTTCGTTGCTGTCACAGTAACACACGCTGATCTCCCAGATAAACAGACTGTATTTACTGTCTGGCTATTTCTCTTGACTAGAATATGTTTTATGAGGACGTAAAATAAGTATCTGAGTTCCAGAAGCGTACTTTATCCGATGATGAAGAAGGAGATCTTGAGAAGCATTTGCGAAGAAAAGTTGACCTCGATGAGCTTGAGGCAGCGGACCTTGATGACGAACAGAAGGAGATGCGTTGGAGGTTCAAT